TAGGGTTTTACGGTTTAGGATTTAGGGTTTAGGGTGTAGGGCTTACCTGTAACCCCAATAACTTACAGTTTTGTGGGTTATACCTACTAATTCAAGGGTACTTACTACTAAACTGTAGGTTATTGGAGCCACAGGTAGGGTCTAGGATTTAGGGTGCAGGGTTTCAGGGTCTAGGGGCCCTAAACCCTAAACCAGACGTGAGGGTAGGCCGAGGGCCCACAGGGTTCTCGTTGAACCCTATATGGGGGTTTCCCAAAATTAGGGGTACCTTGTTGGGGGTCCCTATCATAAGGACTATAGAACTTGGGGGGTCTATATTGGAGTCCCCTTATCTTTGGGAAACCCTAAACCCTAAACCCTATTCAAGTTACCTGTGCAGCTTAGACTGCCTTAACCCTCGCTCCCACTCTGAAACCTAAGCTCCTAAACCCCGAACCCCTAGATTCTGAGCCCTAAGTCCGAAATCCTAAGCCCTAGGCCCAAAGTCCTCAATGCTAAGCCCTAACCCTAAGGGTCCAAGGACCCAAATAATAGGGTTTCAGGGCCCAAATACGATACTGTTCATGGTATTTGGGCCCCAAAACCCCATTATTTGGGTCCTTGGACCCTTAGGGTAAGCCAGAAATCCAGCAGGACCTTGAAGTTCAAATTTTCAACCTGAAGAACTGTTTAGGGCTTAGGGTTACTAATCCCTAAGCCCACAAAAGCCTAAGCCTGATCCAACCTAGCCGCTTAGGTAGCAAAAAGCCAAGTTGATGAATAGCAAATCTCCGATTGGCCTCTCGTAGCTTCTATTAGTACTCCTTTCCCCTTTTTATTCTGGAGTCTCCTCGTTAAAGCTGAACATTAGGGAAAAGGGTACCACTATTCTAAAGGGGGTTCTGGAAACCCTAGATAGAAAACGCTAGTGTTTCGTAATCTGCCTGCCTAGCTCCTTACACTTGTGTCCCTCTATGATTTCATGTTCCGTTCTCTTTTCCAATGGATTCTACATTTTCTGCTCTCCCTTCCCTATATACCCAAACCCTATAAGGAAAACCCTGAACCCCAAACCCCAAACCCCAAACCTTAAGCCAAGCCAACAACCCGAAGCTCAATGTCGGCCGGCAGCCTTTGCCATGGACCCGGGGTCCACTGCCAGCACAAGCTCGGCTCGAACCCCAGGATTTTGGGGGATTCAGAGTTTATCAGGGCATTAGGGCTTGTAGGAGTTTGGGTAGCAAGCCCTAAACCCTAAACCCCAGTTTCATTTAGGGAGTCTAGCAGCAGCCGTAAACGGCTACTTGGGGGGTGTTGGGGGGCCTCATCTTGCTCACCAGTTTTCAAGGTCCCTGCGGCCATGCCGTTTTTTCGTGGCGGCTATGAAATACTCTACAGCCGGAGTCCACTCTAAACCCCTAAACAATAAACCCCAGTTTTTGTGAAGGGAGAGTACTCCATTAAGGCGCCGAGCACCTGCAAGGAGCAACTGTCTATCCACTACGGGCTATTAGACCCTAATGTTAGGGTTGTTTAGGGTTTAGGGCTTAATACTCCCTTTCAGGAACCTATTAAGGGTAGATTAAGGTACCTTTAAAACTTTAAGGGTACCTTAATCTACCTTTGACCCTAATATTCCCTAACCTTAAGGGTAGGTTAAGGTACCCTTAAGGTCCAATAGCCCATAGTGGAGTGTGCCTTTTTCCAGGGTTTCCTTCAGAAGGGACGTAAGTACTTGACACCTCAAAGGTTCATGGGACTTACGTTCAGGGTTTAGGGTTTAGGGTTTAGGACTTACTAACTGATTATAACTGGGCCCATAACCCTACGTATAACGGACTCATGTAGGTTACCCCCAGTACAAGTAGGCTTATAGCCCTAAAGCCTAAACCCTAAAACCTAAAACGGAAACCCTAAAACCTAAACCCTAAAACCCAAAGCCTAAACCCTAAACCTAAACCCTAAAACCTACGCGCCTAAGTAGGTTCCTAACCCAACTTGTGAGTAGTTACTAAGTCCCAAGAGCCTTCAAGTACCCAAACGAGGTCAGAGATATAGTTCACCTATTCGCGACCCTACAGAGTCCCCCTTAAGTAGATAGAATATGAGGTATATATGGGGATCTTATTATGATATACCCAAAGCCATAGTCTATCTACTTAAGGGGGGGGGACTATAGGTGTATAAGTGCTCCAAGTTTGGTATAGTGAAAGCCTGCTGCAAGCAGGCATGGAACTTGAAAGAAACTGTCATGTTGATTTTTGTGGGGAGGGCACCTCCGACTCGAAACCCTAAAGCCCTAAAACGGTTTAGGGTTTTAAGCCCTTCACCCTAAACAGCTAGAAAAGCTTGCTGCGTGTTTGTATGATCAGGCAAGTTAGCAAATAGGCTTTGCAGAACTTACATTGGGCTTGGATGTATGTATTAGAGTTTACGCTTAGGATTAACCTACATGCTCAAAGGGATTCTCGCCTCGTACTCATATAAGCGAACCATATGAAAGGGGAACCATCAGGTAACTCCCCACCTAGAGAACTTCTTGACTTGCCAGTCTCCCGGACCTTAACCCTGTACCATAAACCCTAAACCTTAACTCCAAACCTTAAACCCTAAAACCTTGAACCCTGACCTTGAACCCTGACCCTAAACCTTGGACTCATTGACTTGACCTCCAGCAACTTCATATCTTCGAAACTTTCGGCAGAGTTTGAGGGTTAGGGTTTAGGAGCCCTGAGCCCCAAACCCTAAACCCTAAACCCTAAATCCTAAACCCGAAACCCTAAATCCTAAACCCTAAACCTCATTCAGGGTTCAGGGCTGGACTTACGGCCGTGAAGCAGAGGAGACATGTGAGCTATAGTCTAAACTCCTTAAAGGGGGTTATATCAGGGATTATATAGGGGACTACTATAAGGGTTATTGGGGGGATACTAGGAGTTTAGACAATGGTTCATGTGAGAGCGTGGTGGTCTTCCATTTTGCTCCGGAGGTTCCTTTGACAGCTACCCAGACGGTTTAGGGTTTGGGGCTTAGGGTCGCAATAAACACCCTATGAATCAGTACTGTAGGGGGCTAAAGGATAACCAATTTTATGGTCCTAGTAGATTTTTTAAAACATATAATAGTATGAAGGCACCTCAAATATGTCTCGAGAGCATGCTGGTAATTGTGGGCAACTACAGTATCCGTGTTCGCCTTTGCAGACACTGTGGCTCCAGTTACACACCTTTTGTGCGACCGACCACCAGGCCATCCAGGGCATTAGGGTCTAGAGATATGGGCCGCAATGTGCAGCATCAAGTGGAGAAGAACATGGAAAATACAATGGATACTTTCAGGAGTAGTAGGGATAAGTGGATACACGAGTCTTACAGGGTAGCAAAAATAGAGTTAATATCTACCACCTTAAGTCCTTGGAAAATGCCTATCCAAGCATATCCGAAGAATCAATTTTTATAGGCCCCCCCCAAACCTACCCTAGTTTAGAATTCTTGGTGGCATCCCATATAGCCCTGTCTCAAAAGGACAGTAATTCATATTTGAGCCTTTCAAGGGTTCAATGTTAGTTCGGGTTGAGGGTAGGAACTCAGGAGCAAGTTGAGTTGAGACGAACATCCTTCTATAATTGATGGAGGCAGCCTTAATCTAGAGCACAGAGTAGTCACCAGTATTGCTCTCAAACAATGTAGCCGGCAGCCCTATTCTAACCAGCTAGGCTCCTACCATAGTATTGTACCCTGCACTTCGACAAACAAGCATGGAATCCCAAAGGTCTCCCACAAGGATTGCAGTAATCCTCTAAACCCCAAACCTTAAACCTCTACATCCCCACACCATGAGGGGTCTACATCACGGGGCACCATGTTGGCTCAGGGAAAAGGGCAGAAGCTTTTCAAGATTGCAGGGAGTCTACCAGGCTTTTCTGAAGTTTTGTCGGCGTTCTGGATGAAATTGGATGAGATTGAAGAGAGCTCTTCTGCCTGAGTGCACAGTTCCAGCAATCGCAGTTACTTGTCACTCCATCGGGAGTACCTGGAGCTTCATGGGACTTAACTACGTATGACTGAGGTTATAAATTCACCAATGATTGGAACAACGAATGTAAGTCAAGCTAGGGGAGTAGGGCGTTAAGCCTAGCCATAAGCAGTTGGGAAGCCCATCATTCTCCAATTCTTCAAGATAAGGGAGCTAGTCTAACCAACCGTATCTGGTTGGAGGAATTTTGATGAAGTGTCTTCTGACTCCAGTGTTTCCAGATCGACTACCACCATTTGAGCTACCGTCAATGTTAGGGTTACTAAAGGACGCCAAATGGTGGAATAAGAGCCCATGGAAAATATTGATTCGAGCCATGTGACTCCTGCATTTTCCTGGAGATGCCCCGAAATTCCAAAACAATATAGAGGCAGACACCAACATCAACTGTAGTCTAAACTCCTTAATTCAGGGGGGCTATGCGGGTGATTATGTAGGGGTTGTACGGGTTATTAAGGGGGTACGAGGAGTGTAGACTATAGCTCAATTGAAAGCCTCCACCCTAAGCCCCAAACAAAATGAATTCAAGTCGCACCAAGAAGCCAAAGCTTTGTTTTCTATTCTTGCTGTTTCCACCTTCTGGACATACATTGCTTACCCGTGAGATGACCAGAGACAGGAAGTTACCTTGGCTATTGCCTACTATAGAGGCATAAGCAATTAACAAAATTACCATAATGGAGAATCAAACGGAAAGAACATGGAAAATTGAACCTCAGCCTTTTCCCATTTTTTGCGGAGATAGTTTGCAATATTATGATTCTAGATTCCTTGGTGATGGAAAGGGTACCTCAAATAAATAGACCACAACATGATGTTGGTAATTGTTTAGGCCCCCACGCTGCGCACGAAACGACGCAGCATTCTCAATCTTCAATCTGGGAACTGTTTGAAATGCTATTAAGCCGCGGATTGCTGGAGCACCTGTGGAACGTTGTGCTTTGATTGATCCACCCCTAATCCCCAATTCCTAAAATTTTCTGCAGGAGAGAAGATGCCTGCAGATCATTTCCAGGTCAAGTTGGGCGGAAACTGGAAGGACACGGGAGGGCCATCCTGTCGGGTTCAGGGGCTAGTTATTCCCGGTATGATCTTTGCCCGCAGTCTTTTCTCCAGTGCTGTAGAATATTTCCCTCAAACCCTCTTACAATGTAACCATTCCAACTGCATGCTTTGGGAAGCCTGCCTCTTGTTTTGCCAGCGAGAGTGCTTTCGGAAGCCTAAGGCGGACAGGGATCCAGAGTTTAGGTTTGAGTCACGTTTCCACATGTAAACTTAGGTGGACAGGTGAGGTGCCTGTGGCTGGAACACGCAGCAGTCAGCAGCAAACTTGCAGAAGAAAACTGTGTCTCATGGTGTTGTCTCTTTAAGATCCATGGCCGTAAGTCTGTTTGCATTGATCAGTGTTTTTCAGGTTGAAGCATGGGTTGTACTACTTATAGTTGTTTGTTGCAGGCTTGGGTTTAGATTCACCTTGACGTTCCTAAGTGAACACACGTGCAAACTCCCATACAATTCGCTACGCAAACTTGCTTGGGGTTTCCACAGCTCCTTTTTTGATGGCGCTGTTCGATCCTGCAAGCCGCAAGATGTAGGTGTTTTTGTGTTGTTGAAGCCGTCTGCTCAAATCTAGAAAAGCCCAAGAGACTGTTGGCTCGAATGAGAAGAAATCGGCAGGACTACTCCGGGAATGAGGACAAGATCTTGAAGCGCGCGTACCTTGCCGGTTTCCCACATGCCAAGTACAAGCTCCGCGGTCAGCAGTACCAGGTGGACTTCTCGAGCATGTCCCAGAAGAACATGCGGACCGGAAAGTCTCGCGAGATCCGCGCACCCTACAAGTGGAAGCAGCCAGCAAAGCCCATTGTCGAGCCAGGGCCCACCTTTTGCATCAAGGTGCCGGCTGGTGCCCCCGGCACGACTATCCATGTGCCCCACCCGCAGCAGAAGGGCCAGTTCATCGCCGTGAACGTGCCGGCAACAGCCAAGGTGGGCGCAGCCATGCTGGTGCCCATCCCCAAGGATGCGGACCTGCCCAAGCCTGTGGCGGACCCAACGCCCTCAGCACCACCAGCCGACCCAGCAGCACCTGCCCCTACCACAGAGGAGAAGAAGAGCGGCGGATGGAGCACTGGGGCCAAGGTGGCTGCCGGCACTGCTGGTGTCGTTGCCGTAGGCGGTTTGGCTGTGGCTGGCGCCGTTCTGGGCGAGCACATCATGGAGGAGGGCTGGGATGCCACTATGGCAGAGCTTGGTGATGTCGCCGCAGACGCGGGAGATGCCATCGCAGGTGCTGCCGAGGATGTTGGCGAGGCCGTCGCGGGCGCCGCTGAGGACACACACAGGGGTTCAGGGAAGATGGTGTAGCGGCTTTTGTGCAATTTGACACGTGGTACTAGGGCGCAGCCGTCCCTCTTGCAGGATGCAGGAGAGTGGATCGCCGGGGCCGCCGAGGACGTGGGCGACTTCGTCATGGACCTGTTCTAAGGCGCGTCTTGTTCCATCAGCATGAGGTTCCAGGGCTCACAGGTTTCGGCATTGCATTCTGTTGTAAAGATTGGGAAGAAAGCTGGGGACATACAGTCCCCCTTAAGTAGATAGAATTTGGTGTACATGGGGATCTTATTATAATATACCCAAAGCCATTTTCTATCTACCGAAGGGGGAAGCTTCAATGCATTCAGTGCTGGGGAATTGTGCCTGTGCTGAAGTTTAAACCTTGGTTCGCTTTTGCTGTATAATGGGACAAATGGAGACTGTTATATTATGAGGGTTATATAGAGATTAGATATAGGAGACAATGGAAAGAACGTGGAAACTCCTACAAGACTACTCCCCCAAAACCTGTACTACAATGAGAAAACTCAAGTAAGCAATTCGATGTTTCTGGTTCTATCGGCCTAAACCCTAAATCCATAAATCCCCCATATAACCCTAAACCCTAAATCCATAGATCCCCCACATATAACCCCAAACCGTGGACCGCATGGCCTTTCCGGAGAATTATCAGCCGTCAGCTCAGAGGGTCATCCCCCTTCAGGAGCCGGCTGTGGGGTTGAGGGGATAGGGTTAAGGGCTTGGGGTTTGGGGTTTAGGGTTTAAGGGTCTAGAGTGTAGGGGTTTGGGGTTTAGGGTTTAGGGGTTTAGGGTGTAGGGGGTTGGGGTTTAGGGAGTTAAGGGTAGAGGGGCTTTAGGGAGTAGGGTAGTTTTCTGATTGAACGTTGCTTGTCTTATGCTGATGGTTCTTATTCTGAGTAGTGTTACCATTCCTACTCCCACTGTCCTTCAATTCCACTGTCATTGTTTGTTTGGATATTATGGCCGTTGTTGACGTTCAGTACGAGGAAGAATTATGGTAGTTCCTCGACAATACCCTCTCTAGAATGAATCTTGATAGGGACACGCATCATGTCCTTGAATTCCTATATCGAACTGGGGCCGGGAGAACCCTAAACCCTAAGCCTAAATTGAAACATCCTACTTGGAGGGTCAGGGGGACTTGGGAAGTAGGTCAATAACTGCGATAACCCACATAGTGACTCCATTCATCCCCTTTATCAACCCACTTACTAAGTCCCCCTGACCCGCCGAAACCCTAAGCCCTAAATACTATAGTTGTTTCCATTTTCTTTTCCATTATAGATCTACTTACTAAGTCCCCCTGACCCTAAACCCCAGACCCTAAACCCTAGACCCTGGACCCTAAACCCGAAACCCTAAACCCTAGACCCTAAACCCTAAACCTTAGACCCTAAACCCTAAACCCCAGGGTGTGGGGCCCTCCAAGTACGCACTTGCCAGGCGACATTGCCTGAGCCAGCTTTGAGAGTGCCGGCAATTGTCGGGGATGGCAGATGAGCGGCAGGAGGTTTAGGATTAAGGGGTTTAAGGGTTTAGGGGGGTTCAAGGTGTAAGGTGTAGGGTCTGGGGGGTTTAGGGTTTAGGGGTTTAGGATTTAGGATTTGGGGTAGCATGTAGCATGTACAGTAGGTATTTGCCTAAAGCCTATCCCTCAACAGTCATTCCAAAGACTTGAATGCATGAGGTTTGACTAGGGGTTTAGGTTAATAGTCCCCGTTAATATTTGGGTATATTATAAAAAGCCCCCATATACCCCATGTTCTACCTGCTCAAGGGGGACTACAATGTTTCGGGCTTAGGGATGATCCGTGCAAAGCGGGACCTCTGGAGTTGGAAATGGAGGCGCATGTGCATCTTACCCGGAAGAAGCTGAGGTTTCACGTGATGTCCACCTTCTTTGCCGTGTTGCTTCCAAATGGAGGTAGCAAACATCCGGTATGACCCTGAGGACCTTATAAACCCTGGGTAGAGTGTAGTAAGGTCGTGCAGGATCTTTAATACAAACACAGACACCTTACATTATCAGAAAGGACCCTCAGCCCTGAACCTTAAACCATAAGGGCCTCCAAAAATGATCCCTATATAATCCCCATAATGTGGTAGTTTGCATTTTCATTTATCCCAATATATGACCCCATTAAACCCTTTAAAAGGTACCCAGCAACCCTAAACCCTAAACCCAAAATAATGAACCCCAAACAAAATCAGAGCGTGCTCCTCCGCCGACCTGCAGTTGCTGTTCGCTCAATTCGACCTGACCATGACCGGGCACGCTTTAACTTTAGGGTTTAGAGGGTTTAGGGTTTAGGGCTTAAGGTTTAGGGTTTAGGGTTTAGGCTTGAAGATCTAAGAGTGAGCATTTAAGAGTGAGCATTTAAGGGCTGAGGGCTTGAAGGATGTGATGTATAGTAAGTAACATGAGTTCCGTAGAAGGTTGCTTACTTTAAACTCCTGAACAGCCACCCCAGAATCATTCGAAGGATGTAGACTCAACCCGCAAGTCAGGGACAAAATCTATAACAACATTACCTCACACCCTTCAACCCTTAAAGCCGAAACCTAAGCCCTGAAAACCCTACACCTAACCCCTCCAACGACCCTCAACTAGAAACCACTAAAAACCTTAAAACCCTAAGCACTATAATCCCAATCCTTCAGGGTTTAGGTGGAATTTAGGGTTTAGGGCGTTTAGGATTCTTAGGATTGAGAGTTTAGGGTCCAGGTTTAGGGCTCGGGGCTTAGGGTTTAGGCGCAGCAGATGCACTCAATCATTATGTGCATGAGGGCAAGGTATATATGTAAAAAGTCAGTTGAAGTAGAATGAGCTCCATGTCACATTGGTTGCAGTATAGTGCAGTTTGATATGGTACATCATTGAGTGTTTTAAGAGAGTTTGGTCTATCAAGCTTTATTGAGCCATAGAATGCTTTCATATACCGTTTTTTTTTGAAGAATTTGACGTGCATTAGAATATCTACAAACATGCGTGTATTCTGTACATTTGCTTACACGCACATATGGAGTTTCCCAAAAACAGGGGTCCTTTTTTGGTGGCTCCAAAGAGTAAGGATTGTAGTATATAAATTAGGGGTAGTTTTTGGGGGGGGGTCCACATAAAAACGACTTGGGTGTCTATATTGGGGCCCCCTGTATTGGGAAATTACCACATACATATAACACTGATGGCAGCCCGTCGTGGGACCCTTTTGCGCAGACTGTGCCCATCGGTTTAGGGGAGCCTCGGGGGTGTATCTCTACGAGACTCCTGACACGTCTCTTTCTCCTGCTGCTGAAGTCTTGAATGAGAGCTTCTCGAAATACGGGTCCAGTTAGGGACTCCAGGGATAGAAAGGGCGTATGTGGAGTTTTTCAGGGTTGCCATTACGAATCTTATAGGGACAATCCTCAGAAACTCCCAAACGAGGTAGGAGTTTCAGTACGGGCTCGGCAAGGGTACATAGGAAGCCTGTTGTCTGCTTACAAGGGGGTTTGTTTCTGCAGCCGTCCTCATAGCTCTGATCTTTCAAAGCTGCTGGTTGTTTATTTCTTGGGTACTGCCCCCCCCTCACTAACAGTTGGATAATAAATATAATATGGTTATATATAGCCCTTCATAGGACCCCGAATATAGACTGTTACTGGGTGGGGGCAGTACCCCATTTATTTCTGTGTTCACGGCAAGGGTCCTATGATTTTGGGGTTAAGGCTGTAGACCTGAAGCGCCTCACCTTGCATCGCGAGGTTTCTGCTTTCCAGGGCCTTTAGGGGACTTGTCGGATGGATTCCTGCAATGCGTGTAGGACCGGTTCCTGATTCGTAACGTGTTCTCATCAAAAACGGAAGTTAACTACACTCCTTGCCAGAATGCCCGGTCAGAAGAAGCCCATATTCTGGATACGCTAGGGATTGAAGTAGTCGCTTGTGAGGCAGAGTCTTCAGTGGTGCAGGAAACGATGCCGTCCAGCAAGCTGGACAGTGCGCTGGAGGGTAGCAAGAGCTGACCTCTGAACCTTGCGAATGCACAGCGGCAAGAAATGTGGTAGTTTCCACACACAGGGGACCCCAAAATAGACCCAATAAGATTATAATTATGTCCTTGTTTTTGTGGCCCTCAAAACGGCACCCCTAACTTTAGGAACCCCCCTTATGGAGTTAAAAGAAATGCTGCGCCATCCTGGCTGATGTAGACTAGGGGCGTTACGCCTGAAGAGTCCTTGTACAGAAAGATTTCAGTTTATCCTCAAAGATCCCTAAACCCTAAATCCCTAAACCTTTATCCCCTGATCCCATTCGAACTATGTAGGACTCTTCGTGAACTCTGAAAAGAGCCAAGCAAAAAACCTGGGTTTAGGGTTTAGGGGTTAGGGTTTAGGATAATTTCTAATTCTTGGTTACCATAATCCCAATAACAACCAACAATTATGATTTTTAGTTGGGTTCTGAGGCCAGTTAATGTCTCACCTCATCCCTGCCCCCTCAAAACTGGCTGGAAGGGGGTTGGGCTTTAAGGGACCGCCCCTAATCCCTAAACCAAAGGAACCCGCAGTCTTTAGAATGCCAGCCCTAACCTTTGAACCCTAAACCTAACCAGGATGGGCTATTAGACCTTAAAGAGCGGTTCACCTACCCTTGTTAAGGTACAACCCTAGTCCCTAAACCCCAAACCCCTAAAGCATAAACCCGAACCCCCAAACCCTCCATGCTAGACCTAAACCCTAAACCCTTAGAGCGTGGTCACGGTCCTAAGGCTCCACCGGCTGCTTGCGGTCGGAATCGAGCCGCTCGGCGTTGCCTTGGAGTCTAAGGCTTGTCGATCTTTTGAAGGGTTCGTTTAGGGTTTAGGGTTGCTGGGCCACATGTTCTGTCCTCCCAAAAAGCCCTCCTACCACTGGATGACTAACCCCAAATATAGTTTCAGGATATTATGGGGGCAAGACGATGGATTCGGAAGGTATCGATGTTTTACCATGTTTTGTGGGGGGTGGAGAGGTTCATTATCAGACCCTAAACCCCCTAAACCCTAAACCTTAAACCGTAAACAGTAAACCCCAAGTCCAAAACCTTAAACCCTAAACCCTGAACCTTCATAATTGGGAGAGGGGACTCATGACCTAACCTGGTCTTAA